TAATTAAGACAATCGAACATTTCTAACCAAGATCGATACGGTATCCAACGGGCACACGGTGTTGCTTCCACATCAAGCACGGGTTATGACCATTTTCAAAAATTATGAAATTATGGAAATTGTATAACTTCTCATATTGAATTCATATCTAATTGATAATATGTAATTATATAGTTATAAAGTATTTTCATTAATATATTTAAAATTATGTATTTCTATTACCATTTACACATTTTATAATATAATTTTTAGTCGAATTCGCGAGTGGAAACAGCCAAGCCACGATAAATTTTATCTATTTTTGCTTATTTATTGTTTGAGTTATTTCCAAAATTGCTATTTTAAAAACTACTTTTTTTAGTATACGTAGTAACTACCTAGCTATTATTTGTTACAAATTATAATATACATAGTATAATACAATGGCAACAAGTTACAACAATATTTTTTAATTGATAAATATGCGTTGTTTAACATAATATATAATACTTAAATTTTAGATTATACATTATACATTATTCATGATCGTTAATTTCTATTTAAATAATAGAAATTTAACCAACATACCAACCTCAAATGTTTACACCTCAAAAATTAATTATGTCAACAAAAATATATTAATATTAAATAATTTCAAGCTTACATCTCTATAAAACATAGACGGAAGCAGACGTGATACTATCACAACATTATTTCTAGAAAATACTTTAATTAAAATTAACGTGCGTTTCTTTTATATTTTATTTTCATAATTGGATAAACGTACATTTTCGATCACTTTAAGCACGTACCTCTTTCTTATCGTGTCTTTAAACTTTAAAAATGAATGCACTGCTTTCTAACACTGAAAATTAGATTCGAAAGCAGCCGTTTTTGTTCTGAAACACTTTTATAGGTACAATACAAATAAAAAAAAATTCACAAAACAAAATACTTGATCCAACTTGGGAAGTTTGACTACAACATCCATTATCGCAACTATAATCGGTGTTTAAATTATATTCAATGTGGTTGCCGCTGACACGAATTATTATAGTGGTGGACGCCAAACGGTGAAACTGTTTTCGGCGAAAAAATATTGCCTTTTCTCGGAAACTGACACCGAACTGATATCGATGGTTAAGTTAACGGGGCCGCAACGTAGAACATATTAAGGATTACTATTTAGGCAATTCATGTGACATATAAATTAATACTGTATCTATGTGTGAGTAGTAAATGAACATTATTGTGCGTAATCAGCTAATTGTTTCGCGTCGAGTCGGGTCGGGAAATTCGAAAAAAATGGTTGAATTTATAGTATATTGTATATAAATAATACTTCGGTAGTTTGGCATTTCATTTAACGTGATGTCGTGATTGGAGCAATTCACAGACACCATAATTTAAGTGGTGAAAGTGGCTCAAAATACGCGGAGGGATGCCTTTCATATTTTATACAGTTTTCATACATGTTATGTCATATGGCTGTAACAGTCGTAGGTACACAATGTAGTTTGTGGGGGAGTTGAATTGGGTAAGTTAAACACCATATACATTTTATTATATATTTTATATAAATATTATATTGTATATATTTTTGTTTTTCAGTTTGGTGTCTTACTTTCGCATTTAACTATAATTACCTACATTTAATTATTTTATTTATTATATTCATTAACTTTTGTAAAATTAATCAAATAAGATATAACTTTGAACTCTAGAATCGAAAAAATAATTTTATGTAAGGCTATCATGTTATAAAAAAACATTACCTGAAAATTGCATACATGACTTTTGCAGTATACTATAACGATTTTTCATGCTCTATTAATATTCAAAAATGCTTAATAGTATTATACCCTACCTATTAAAAATATTTATTTCGTTAATAAAAGACTAAAAAAAATTTAAATTTGTATTATTCTTTCTTAATCTTTCTACTTGTTTGAAGTTTGAATTTAAATAAAACAAACATATTATTTATAAAATGCATAATGTGTAAATGTGTAATAAATAATTATGTTTATGATTTATACCTAATAGTTATATACCCATTAAACTATTGCTCAAATAAACAATATTTTGTGATATTGTATATAACAAAATTGTGTTTTATATTTAATTAAATGCCTTACTTTTCAAGTCGTTCCTTAATATTGGTATAAGTTATTTCATTAAATGTAAGCGAATATGAATGAGTAGTTGGGTTTTGTTACAATCAGTGTTGTGCATTACCTATCTAGAAAAAAAATATTTATCTTATCTAAATAAAATAAATACACAGTATAAATAAAACTCCTATCTGATTATATCTGCAGATAATTAGATAATATTTTTTCTATTTTTCTATAACTTTTAATAGTTATTTGAAACTCGAAATTTGCCCCAATTACTTCAAAATGGATCATCCGAACTGTGTGTGCATTTTAAATGTTATAGTATGTTTAAAACCAAACAAAATAAATGGTACATTTTTTTATAGATTTAATTATCAGCATTGACTATTAGGTATGTTTTTTAGGAATAAATGAATTTTTATAATACAATATAATATAATTTGATAATATTTATACCAATATATTTGTTAACTTAATAAATTATACTCACCTGTAAATAAAACACCTACTCCGACAAGGAAAACGGTTGAGTATTTTAAAGTTCCACAAAAGGATGTGTACAATATAATATTGTATAACAATAAATAAATATAAATATAAATAAGTACAATATATTTAATAATATGATAATATTAGGTACAAAGTACGCTGTATACAATTAAAGTAAACCATACAAAGTTTAATTTGTTTTCTTAGGAGAAAAAATATTTTACAATCAATTTCAAAGTATATACTATATTTTGTATAGTATTTAATTTAACAATACAAAAAGGTATTTAAATATAATTTGGGTAGTAGACTGCAGACTCCATTTAATTAAAACATCCGTAATTAAGAAATATTGATGGCGGTGTTGGTATGGGCTGCGGAAAATCAAACAAACCGAGTTAATCATTAAAAATAAATAAAGGAAGTTGTATTTTTTTATTTCTATTATTTACCATACCTAAAATACTTAATTTAAATGTATTGTTTTAAAACTCAATTACGAATTCAAATGTTCAGTTGATTATCAAAATATATATCAACTTCAAATAGTAGATTAATAATATAATTTAAATTTTTTACTTAATACAACTGAATATTATTTATTATATCTTTTTAAATTATAAAACTCAATTCAAACAGAAAATCTAGTCAATGTGCCTACAAATAAAATTGAAATTTTGTTTTATTTGTTAACTTACGAATATTAAGGTGGTTTATGCATTTATACCAAACAGATTGCAAAGAATAACCATATTATTTATCTAGTCGTTAATTTTGAAAAATATTTTTAAAGTTTATCAGCCTCGATGTTTTATATGTTTTGTAGACTATTTTTGTTCGTATTTTTCTTAGCATAATAAGAAATATTGTTCCGTTAAAAATACTGAACGCATTCGCAACCATAGAATAAAAATTATGTTATAATTAACATTTTTTTTGTTTGAGGTAGGAACAATTTGTGGAAGTCTGTTATCAAAATTTCTATTGTTAGCTATGGGAGGAAAACCTTTTATGAATTTTTAACGAAAAATAGTTTGAATTGCATATAAAAAATGATATCTTACATGATATTATGTATCTTTAATATTTTAGAACTTAAATTTATGAAACTTATAAGGAAGTAAGCATTAAATTGTCAAGTTTTTTTTACAAAATGATAAAGATTTTATGAATAATAATACAAAAAGAAGTTTATAACTAAAAAAGAGTAAAAATATTTCGAAATGTCACAATTAATGTAAAATTAATGTAAAATGATAATATAAATATTTGGAGAAAATTAAAGGGTCTACGTTTATTAATTTTTGAGTAAAAAAAAATATAATCGATTTATTTAAAATGACTTTGGGGTTATTGTAACGTTAAACCTGACATTATTATTATTCTTAAACCTATTAGGTATAGCCGTGAACTAAATAGGTACTTAAAGTCGACTGATTTTGGCGATCGTAGTTATTGTTTTAGGTATATTTTTAAAAAACATTTTAATAATGACAGAAAATAGATTATCAATTAATATTACTTAAATAAGTCTGTTTATATAACTTCTATATTCTATGAAATGTAATATATAGTGTAAGGTATATTTTTTTAATTTTTTTTTTTGAAACCTGTTCTACAAAAATTTTATACAATAGATGCCTATACATTATTATTTGTTATAGTTGTAAATTAAAACATTAACTTTAAAGTAAAAAAATGTATCAAAAACATATTGTAAATTACAATTATTTTATTACTTCTAATAATTTATTAAAACAAAAAATTAAAATAATGTTTAAAAGTACAAGAACTTAAACATTAAAATAAACGAAAACATAAAACGTTATATTTTTAATTATGAATATTAAATATTCATATAAAATGATAAAATGTAAATGGGTTATATGATATGATAATACATATGCCCTACCTGTGTTTCGAGTCTGTTCATGCCTCTGATCATAATAATTAAGTTGTTATTAGTGTAAATTCAAAAAAGTTGACCGTATATTCAAAATTAAATATTTATAAGTGAGAATTATTTTGTTGTTAAATTTTATAAAATATTCAATTTATATAGCTAAAGTAGAAAATTTTAAAAACCGTTTTCTCGTAAGTATTTACTGTAACCGAAAAAACTAAAAATTATATAAATAAAGTTTTTTTAATAAATATTTTAAATTTAAAATTTGGACGAAATTAGATATTTATAACAGGAAATATTTTAGTTAATGTATTATACTTTAAAAAGCAATAGTTTGCTCCTCAAATCTCAATTTATTATACTCTACTATCGAAAATTGTTTGTAGATATCGAAATAATAATCAAATTGAATTTTGGCACAAATTAAAATTTTTCTATATCTCACCTACCTGCTAATTACATATTATTATAATTATTTTCTTGCAAATTCCAAATTATATTAGACATCACATTATACATTTGATTTGGCTTATTAATTGACATACCTGTGAATTGTCACGAAACGTATTATAAGCAAAAATGGTGCCGTCCACATTAAAGCAACATTTATTAATAGATGCTTGGCAACATTTATCTAAAAGTATGGTAGCTCCCGGTGGTTCCATATTGAAAAATGAGCAATGACCATTAGATCCAAGAACTGCTGTTACATGATTGATTGGATGATACTTAATATCATTAACCTTCAGTTAAAATATCAAGTATAAAATACACAGAAATATAAAATAATTTGTTTATTCAAATACATACTGCGGCATTGTTATTTAAAGGCATTGCTATCTCTACATTAGGGACGTCGTGACTTTTGTCAATATATATTGGGATAATAAATCCTTCTGGGGTCCCCAATGTAAAACCTAAAATAAAAATACATATTATATTTGATGTTAATATCAGTATTTTTTTTTTATAATATTATACTAACCAGCAGGTTTTCCTGTTCTCCTATCTCTGAATATTGCAGCACTACAACTTTCACTTTGATGAGTGTTGAAATACGCTGTCATCTTAATCCTAGGTCCTAGTTCATAAACGTAAATCATCCCTCGTTCCGTACAGACAACCGCCATATCATCTTCCTAAACAACGAAACATTTATCTGACGATATAGTATATTATAATATAGTAAATATAGTAAAAAAAAATGTTGGCAAGTGGGTATCGCTCTGCTCTACAAGAGGTACACTTAGGGATCAAAATTTCCGAAACCCGGGTTTTTTCTTGAAAAATTTAAAAATAGATTTTACATTATAGGAAATACACTCCCCCACATAAATACCAATTTGATATTTAACTACGTTATTTTTTGTACAAATATTAAAATATCCATATTAGTATTTTTAAATTGTAATACAATAGGTAATACATTGATAACCGTATTGGAAAATGTGAAATGACAATGACAGGTTTCATTATCTATTTTTAAATAAGGTTTTTTTTTTACATCAATTATTTTAATTTTTTCAAATACAAGTAAAGATCCAATTTTTCAATTTTCCAAAAATTCGGTTTTTTTTTACAAGTAATATACAAACTTTATCATTAATACAAGAACAATACATGCTAAAAGTACATTCACAAGAAAATTAATTTTTATAAAAGGAGCCACATATTGATGACACTTTCTATGGTTACTGAGTTATATACTTATTATTATTATTATTATTATTTTTTGTTTTTTTTTATAACAAATCAAGACACCACTTGAAATTGATTATGATAAATTTGAATTCAATGATATATACATATTATACTAACATTGTATATGTACGAAAAACGATTCTGAGAGGTAACAGTTTATCAGTGTATATTATGTTTATACCTATCATTATTACTTATTATTTATACAGTATCCTGTAAGTTGAATTTATATTATAAAATTACAACAAAATATCTAAAATCGTTATTCTTGGTTATTTTATATGTATAATTTATGAATTTGAACATAAGAAAAATATATTTTTTGGTTACAGACCTACTTAATATGTGAAACCTTGTTTTGCATTTTCAAATCTTAGATTTAAGAAGGAACATTTTTATGAATTTCTAACTCAAAATAATTTCTAAATTTTTTATAATACATATTATTATCTCGTATACACTATTGTATTTTGGATTCTCAGCGGAGCGATAATTGAATTCATTTTACAATGATGTGTGTTTATTTATTTATTTTTGTGTCTGCAATACATTTTACCATACATGCAATTTCACTAGTTGTTTACATTAGCTGTTTCTATACATGATAATGCATACAAAATATTTTGATTGGGTTTGAACTGTCTAAGGACATTTTTAGTTTTTTTTTTCTATAAATGTCAATACAATTTTATTTGTTGAGTAAATAAGCTTGAACATTTAATACAAGTCATATAATATATTATTACAATAACATTTGAAAAATATTAAAAATCAAAAGTTACATTTTGTTTTATACGCAATTAATTTTCAAATTTTGACAAAATAAGCAAAAATCACAAAAATTTACAAATTATTGTGAGTTAGAAATTCATAAAAATGTTCCTTCTTAAATCTAAGATTTGAAAATTTAATTCAAGATTCCTCATGAGTTTGTCTAACTTTATCAAAAAAAATAAATATATTAATATAAATGTATAAAGTGTTAAATTTTTATAGCTAAAGATAGAAAACGTAAAGCATGGTTCCACGTCATATTAAGTAGGTCTGTAACCAAAAAATATCAAAAATATAAAATATATTTTTTTTATGTTCAAATTCGTTATGTTTGGAATTTATAGCATTTGCATATTTCTGATGGAAAGCCTTAGAAATAACAGAGTAAGCTATGTTTCACGATACAGAGAACTATAATATAATATCAAAAATTTGATTTTGCAATTCATGGACTTTTGAGATGTTTTCATTTTTACCTGTTTTTGAATCAAAATTGATCATATTTTATGAAATTATATTTGATATAATATTATATGATATTATATTTCAGTAAACGTGTTTTTAGATTATTGTCAATCGAATTGTCAACATAAATATTATAATATAAATTAAGTACATACGTGGACGCGATGCAAATGCTGATTATGCGACTCAGAATCGTTCATAATTTCGTACTTTTTGGTTCTAATTTCAAACTTTTCTTATCTTATAATTTTGGGTGATTATGATTAAAAGTGTAAAACTATTAACTAATATATTTTCATTTTTTCATTGTTGCATATTTTGTTGTTTTTTTTATTTAGCGATATTTAACATAATATAATATCGTCTATTTATGCAATTTTAAGTGCTATATAATCCCAACCATGGTTATAGTTGTTTATGTACCTAGTTCATTAATAGTCTGTATATACAGGTAAAATGTAATGTTTTCAACTTACCACATCAGCACAAGCAATATTGTAGGGCAAATTAATGGTTACCACGGGTTCAATGCATCTAGAATCCCATATCTATATTAATTAAAAAAGAAATAAAATATAATACTTGAAGTAGGTACATAATTTAATATTATCACTAAATAGTAAATAAGCTTAAGAACTAAGTACAATTTAGTTATATTACTTATCAAACAATTTAATAACTTTATTTTCTTTAAGTCTTAATTTAGATTTCCAAATCGGATATATTGAATATTTCCAAAAATTAAATTACATTTGGAATTTTTACTCTCAGTAATGAAAAAAAAAATGGAAATTGTTATCTGTAAGTTCTTGAAGCGCCGTTTTTTTTTTTTATATTGGTTTTAACAAATGTTATTTCATTTGTCATGCTATACTTATAGTTTCCTTCAATTGTTTCCACCTTTTATAACTGCTATTATATTATATTACAGCTTATAAAAAAAATAATTGATATAATCATGAAACACAACCTCAGAAATAACTTGTATCTTTAAAAAAAAAAAAAAACATTTTACATACCTTTATTGTTTTATCCCACGATCCAGTCATGATACAAGAAATGTAATTAGTTTTTTTTATAACATTACAGGTTCTTACGGGTCCATCGTGATAATTGTTTGCAGAATATAACAAAATATTAGGTTTTCCGAAATCTATGAATTGCAATTGGTTGTCAATAGACGCCATATAAACACCTCTACCGTGAATACTCCAGGCGATGTCTAAAATTAGACTTGGCATTTCTATCACCGTTTTTGGCTCGTTTTTGCGGCTCCGTCTGACTTCCCAAAGACGAACCTAAGATAAAATAAAAAAATCTCAACTAGCAACATTAATCTATTATATTTGTTTGATCTTACTGTTCGGTCGAAACAACTCGCGGCGAGATAATTATTTCGAATCGTATGATACGAACTGAATTCCATCGCCGAAACATAGGTACTGGGAGGGTCTATGATTTCAATATCGCTTTCAGTCCCTACCACTGTCGTGTTGGAAGATGTACTAGCACTGCACATGGTCTAGAAATACATTAATTGCAATGGAACACGGGTCAGTTAGGCAAGTTTTATGAGCTTAATTCGATATCAAATGACTTACCACAGTATAAGTTGAAATATTCACAAGCAAGTATGTGAGATGAAAAAAACGAAAATTAAAAAATGAACGACTTGTATGACTCAAGACTTCGATTGAGATACTGACTGACCAGCGGAGAGCTGTCTCTGTGTGCCGCGTTCTACCTACCTGTTGCCACACCCCCTACGATCACCACGTGAGTGCGTTGGTGTGGCAGGTGGTCGTCGACAAAAGACCACGATTCGCGGAGAGGGCAAAATTCGTTTGAATTCCAATGGTGTTTGCTTTGGATCGCGTTTACCGTCACGACTAAATTTTCAACCATAAATTGTTTCCTGTAAAACATAATGTGTTAAATATTTTTCCGGCTGAAACGTGCACTTTTTTCCATTATTTCTCAACTAACTACTATTTGAATTAAAAAATTCTATAGTACTACCTATATAGTCTATACCACAGTTTACTTCTCATTATTACGCTATCGTGTTAAGTACGCTATTTGGTGCAAGGATTCTGCCCCCAATACTATTAAACTATTATGACGTACCACACTCGGATTATGATGAATTTTATGGCATATTAGAACAGATTCATTAAAATTTGGATGCAAAATTAATATTTTTATATTATAATCTTACTAATAATTATTTATACTGTCTAGATGTTCTTAATAAAACTTTATATTAAGTACACTCACTTAACTCTAGAATAAAAGATAGGTACAGAAATCACTATAATGAAATGAAAATAAAATATTTTTTATAGCTTAAATTTTGATATTTTTACTTAGTAATCTCATAATAATAATATTGTAGGCACGTTTCCAAAGACTGGGATGGGAAAATGCGGACGAGGTGGCTTCTTTTAATTGTTCAAAAGGCACCAGGTAGACCTTATCGATTACTATAATGTCACCGCAGTCGATGGTCGATCCATATATTGTATTGTATATTTTGTAGGTATATACCAAAATTCCTCCGTGCTGTGTAGACAGGAACACATTATATTCGTCTTCGGATCGAAGGTCAATCGATGTAGGCACTCGAAAAGCGAAATCCGATGGTTTAAATAATATAACAATAATAGGTGTACTGCGCAGTTAAAATTCGAATTTTTATCCTATCTGGCTCGGGTACAAACAATAAAACGTCAAAGTTAAATACTATACCTATTATGTAGTTTACCTAGTACCTGAGTTGCCACACACTATTAACACGTTTCCACCTATAGCCGTTTCCAGCAAAAAAATATCTTATATCGAAATCTGTAACATACAGTTATAATTTTATTTTAAAGATTATAAATGATATATATAACGTATACACATATAGGAGTCATGTACATAATTCAATCGATTACTACCTTTTTAAACCTTATTCCATGTACACTCCACCTATAGATACGTTATATTACCTGTAATACAATCTACATTATGTACGTTCTGCCGTACGGATTTATTATATATATTATGTTTCATATATGGGACTGAGTAACCCATGAGGATATACCCATAAGTCGTAGAATGGGACCAACCAAACAATTTAATTTACTTATAAAATCAAATATAGAAAGGTGCTCTGCTGTACAGTAGGTTACTAGTGTGTCACTGTATAATGGATGGTATTAATTTTGAATTCGACGACATAATATCATTGTATAAGAAAAACGATTCTGACGGTATGTCAATCTAGGTATAAGACATATTAAATCTATGGTATTAAAAAAAATTGAACTATATAATAGGTACCTATAATAAATTCCAAATTAATCATATCACAATGTTCATTAGGTACTTATAACGCATTATACATCAACAACAAACCCTTATACTATCATAGATATATAATAGTGTACTTTAGAAGTTTCAAGTACCCACGAATAATATTATACAATCACAACAAAATAACTAAAATAGTTATTCTAGGTTTTTATTATGTAATTTCGTCCAAATTTGAAATTAAAATAACTATAAAAATAAACTGTCCTTCTGTATTTTTTAGATTTTTTGGTTACAGTATAAACTACTCACGTGGAATCTTGTTTTAAATTTTCAATCCTTAGATATAAAAGTTGAACATTTTATACATTTTTAACTACAAAATAATTATTCAATTTTAAATTTGATACATTTTGTTAAAATTCGATTTTTAAATATCTATAAAAAAAAAATTTGCAAAAGTATTTTTGATATTTTTCAACTGATATTGTAACAATATACCAGGAACCTTGTATTAAGTGTTTACACTTTTTGGCGCAACAGCTAAAACTTTATTGATATTTGTAGAAAAAAAAACTAAAAAAATTTTAATATGAAATTGTCCGTAAGCAGTTAAAAACAAGTCAAAATATTTTGGAAATTTTATCAAGTATAAGAATTGATAAAATACACATTAAGTGAAATTTGCGTGTATCTACAGTCATTCGTTATTGAATTACAATAAAATAATGAAATCGCTACACGAGAAATCGAGTGAAGATCCAATGTTGTACAAATTTGAATTTCAAACGTTCATAAAAATTTAATTTGACTTTCTTATAGACATTATTTTTTTGATAAATGTAGATAATCTTACCGTATTTGTATTTGGAATACGGTAACAACGTTGCTACCGCACATCAAAATATATATTATTTATATAATATGTTAAGTTTGTATTTTATCGAAATTTAAACAAATTTCACGGCTATCATTCCCTTGTTCACTTCTGGTGTTCTTACTGACACACGCACACACACACACACACAAGTTTTTATAGAGAGAGGTTAATTTAGTTAGGTCAGAAAACAAATTTGATATGTCGACGACGCGTCTACATCTGCGCTCAACGTGTAAAGATAAGTTGAGTAGTAGGTAGGAGTGGGGGCGCGTTAAATGGGTGCTAAGTCTCATAATAAGTATTCACTTCAATAATATTATTATAATACTATTAATTATATTATGTTATTAATCAGTGTTTTTCATGCTGGTTAAAAATGTCAACTATTCGTCCAAGAATAAAATTAATAAAAATTAGTTAGCCCATCGAGCACACATTTCTAATTAAATATAGATGATTATGATTCAAAAAAATTTCGTTCCCGAATTATTCATTGTTCCGTGAAAATGTGTTGCATGGCGTGACGCGTGTTTAATAAAAGTTTGAAAACCACTGTTATAAGCCTTAGCTATATTGTGTACATTCATAGGTCGTCGTCAACGATAAACATTTTTTAATGTAGCTATCCAGGTAACATTGCTTATAAAATACTAGTAGTATTTACAATCAATGTCGGTATTGATTAATTTTTCTTATAATTAAAATAAGAATATAAAATATGTTTGAGTATTTTCAAGCCAACACCAATGAGTAAGCTAGGTACGTACAATATTGCTAGGTACTGTTTTGATTTCGGTCGATATATCAACCCGTTTCCTATAAGAAAAACACACGTCCACACAGGTCGCTATTTGAGTACTATAGAGACAATATAATATTGATTATTTATGGATAAAGTGATATTCTTGCCCCCCCCCCTAGGGCCAGCACTGTGTCGCGTACACAAAATGAAGTAGAGATGCGGCAGCCGTGATTCCAGCTTTAATTATAAAGTATAATTTATCATTAAAAAGTTTAATAACTTAATTTCTAACAGTACGATGACTTTTGCAAAAGGATCATATCTGCACACATTTTTTTAATTTATTAAATTTTATTAGGTATTATTATTGATACAATAGATAATTAGTTAGGACACGAAGACTCCCGGTTTTGACGCCTTTCGGCTACAACCGCGGACCTCATATTAGCGCTGTGCGCTAGTCGAGAGCCACGGAGGTTCACGGTCGACGTACGGTGGCCCAGTCCGCCGACCGCGCGTCGTCTACGGACCACGAGCACCGGAACCGAGGTCCCGTACCAAGAAGACTGGCCAAGTGCCGCCTGAATTCGCCTGGTCTGGCTGTGCGCTATCCCCACACCGAGTGTTTCTGGTTACACTCAACCTCCGATGATACTACACCGGTATAGCGGCTAGACGCCCGAGAGGAACCGACAGCGAACCAGTGACTCGCACCCCCGGGTCGTGACGGCCGTTCATCAGAGGTTTTCGCCTGTTAGCGAGAACTTAGAATAAGCATCTATTGACTTAACCACAAAGTATTCGTTTAAGAAAACCGCCACCATGATTCCTACCGGCAACGGACGTCCAGGGGCGTGAACCATCACTGGACGCCCGCGGTGAGCGGCGTCGTTGCCGACGGGGCCCCACTCACTCCCGTGGTACTGAAGCGTCTTCAGTCAGACTTTCGCCCCCTCGAGAGCTACCAGTTCTAGTCCGACAAGACGGGCATTGGTCTGCCTTAACCGCGGACGAGCGTCCGCGGGGTGCGAATTTAATCTCGGCCACCACCCTTTCGAACCATCATCAGCAAGGACCCGTATCTTTGGGTCAGTCTGGCCGAACGTCCCGACCCGGATGCCTGCCGAGCCGAGGCGCCCAGCCCAAGCTGACGACAGCCCTACCTTTCAGTCAAAGGTGGGACTATTTGCGACGACCACCCTCGCCTACCGAATTAGGGACTCTAAGCAGACGAGCCATCAGCCGCGAGCCCGTAACACTCACCGCTGTGTCCCGGAGACATGCCCGAACCCGGCTTACGCTGAGACGCCCGGCTGCTGGACGGAGCGAACTCCGGCGCCCGTGCTCTCAACTCATATTAAGAGCACCACCGGCTGGGTCGGTGGCCCAGCCGGCTACCGTGAACCGGCCCAGAGGACATACTGTCCGGAACTACGGGTCATTTAATCGAAGCTGTCCGCGGCCGGTTATTAGTTATTCGCCGGCTACCCGACTCGGAAGCTACCGAGGGAACCGGGCTTCCCTCTATCCGCAACCCGAGGACGCGATCTATACCGTGCGTCCACGGTCGCGAAACTCACAGTAGGCGGCTGTGGTTTCG